GCCTCCGCTGCAGCATCTGTACCATGGGGACCCAGTTCTGCTGCCTACCTGCCTGTGCAGCAAAATAACCGGGGGGGGGGGGGGGGGGTGACGAGCAACTTGTGTACATTGATACAGCAGGAGTGGGATCCGTTTATTGTAGGACCGGAGGGGCATATATACATTTCACACAGCTTATCTTAATTAACATAAACTAGATACAGCAGTCAACCAATAAGGAATCTCTACACTTAACGGCTCACTGGTGTTACTTCACAAACCACTCCCTCTGGCAATATGCCAGGTGCCATCTTGACTTGTTTACAGACTCTAACACTTCACACCCTCTCCTCGCCTCTGAGACCTCCAACACATCTGACCATCATTCTTTTGAGCGATGGCCTTGCTTCCTATCTTACTGAGAAAAAGAGCCCCAGAAAGAACTTCTTCATCCTCCCTCATTTAATCTACCCACTCTGTCACTCTATCACACAGAATGCACTGTCCCTGCTTCTGCCTGAGGCCATCGCCCTCACTTGCCATTTGGGTCTCATTCCTTTTTGTAACTCAAGGACTTTGGCTTTGGAGTTGCCACTTTCTTGTCTTTATTGCCTAATCTCCCCCACTCTAGGGGCTTGTTCTCATCAATATTCAAATAATCTAAGAAATAGTCTCTCCACCCCTCAGAGTCTCCCTGCCTTTTCTTTTTCTTAAAAACCTAAGAGGTGGTGTCATTTACAGCTGAAAAAGTTCTGATTGATGCGGGACAGCCAATGGAAACAGCTTGTAATTGGTGTCTCTATTCTCATCTCAGGGAGAGTAAATAAAGCAAGACTCAGAAAGGCCAGGCATGGTGAGGCACATCTGGAATCCCAGGTACTCAGGAGGTGGAGACAGGAGGCAGGAGGACTGAAAGTTTGGGGCCATCCTGGGCAATTTAGGGAGACCTTGTCTCAAGGAAAAAAATAAAAATGGTTGGGAATGTAGATCAGTGATGGAGTGCCCATGCTTAATCCCCCAAACAAAACAACTTGCCCAAAGTCTGCAGCGTCCCTTTGCTGAAAACAAAGGAAAAACTTCCCCTTTGCTCATCGTCCCTGCAGTTAATTCCCCTCCAATCACCCCCTTATTGAAAAATCTCTTGAAGTAAGTTTTGTCTTCCCTCAGTTGCTCCTGAACACATACCATCTGGCTTTCAAATGAAACTGTTCTTGTCAAAGTTTCTTACTAGGTTCACCAACCTCCAAAGACCAACAGCAAATCCCAAGGTCCATCCCCAAGCCTCCTCTTGAGCTGACCTTTCTGCTGCCCTTGACATTGTGGGTCAATTCTTTTCCGAACACTTCCTTGACTGTCTTTAGGATGGTGTTTCCTTTGTATATAGCTTCTAGGATGCGATGTGAGTTTCCTAATCCTCCTCCTACCTCATTAGCTGCTGGGTCTTATACGTGTTCAGTCTTCTGATCTCTGCTCTTTCCTATCTGCATTCAATTCTTAAGAAATTCCATCTACTCTGGTGGATTAAATGTCATCCACATGCTGCCTCAGTCTCCCCCTGGACTCCACGGTGGTGCACCCAAGTACCACAGACACCTACACTTGGAGGTTTAAAAGGCATGAGTGCTCTGGCCCAAACAGAATGGTTGATGCCACCACCAACCTGCTCCTCCCCAACATTTCCTATCTCAGTAAATCCCAGGGCCTTTCACCCAATTGCTCTATTTCCCCCACCCCTAGGCCAGTGTAGCTTGTCAGGTGTGCTTTTAAGACAGGTTTAATTTTCACCACCTCTCACCATTTCTACCACTAATCCAGACCTTGACTCAGACCTCATAATCTCTTGCTTGAATCATTGCAATAGACCCCTTGGAACCCAGAGAAATTCTTTAAAAGTGTAAATCAGACCTCGCCACTCAGCAGCTTATATTTAATGAGCAGTTTTCTACAATACCCAGAACACCATCCAAAGTCCTTCTGGTGGACACAGGGTCCTCTGTGACCTGGAAGCTGGCATCTCTTCCCCCTGTACCCTCCCACTCTTCCCTGCTCACTCTTCTCCAGGGCTGCTGGCCTTCCTGCTCATCCTCACACTGAGATGCCTCTGGGTCTTTGCACTTGCTCTTCCCTCCAGGCTTGGTTTATTCACTTGCTTTATTCAATTCTCAGCCCAAATGTCGGTCTCCTCAGAGAATTCTTCCTGCTTACCCCATTTCCCACAATCCTTTATCCTGTTACTAAACATTATCATATACTTATCAATTTGTTTTTGTTTTTTATTCTCTCCCCTATTTAAATATAAGCTCCATTAGGGCAGGGACTTCTATGAGCTTCCGGCTACATTCAGAGCTTCCGGAGGAGAGCCCGGTGCTTAGGAGGTGCTAAAAAGTGAGTCTGTGACAGGAAAACCCCCAGCATCGTGGTATCAAATGGAAAGAAATTCACGAAAACACTTTTCAAACTGAGGAGTACTAACCATGTGTTAGTTATAATGACATCTGTGGTACATTAATAAGCATTTCTCAAGCAACTGCTTATGTGTTGGATAAGGCACAAGGCACTTTAAGTACATAAATAAACACTCTAGCTGGAAAGTTGGGGTGGAAACAAATAGAGGTGGTGTTATTCTAGAATTATAGAAAGAATGAATGAAAGTCTCTGTCTCTCTCTGTCTCTCTTACACACACACACACACACACACACACGGTCATCCTAAGCTGGGATTTGCAGGCTGTAATTGGGCTTGTCTGAAATGAAGCAAGAGAATGGTCACCGCAGGCAGAAGAAAGAAGATCTGTGCACATGGCCTACTGACTGAGCAATCTGCTCAAAACAGGTGTTTTTGCTCTCACTCATTCTTGAAGCACCTCTCCGACTTGGGCCTCCTGGATACCTTTTTGCGCCTTACTATTCCATTTTCCCGATGGTCCACAGAGCTCATCCTCTCTTCCCACAGGTCACGGTGGTGGCTCCAGACAGTAATTTCATCTTTGTACTTCCTGTATCCAACCTTCCATCTGTCCAGGGATTTCAGATACAGTTGGAGGTGGGGGACAGACACGTTTTGTAAAACCTTTAAAAATTATGGGGACAGATACTTTTTATGAAACATTTAAAATTTTTTATGTTTACTTAAAGATTCCTCTTACATAATTCATAATAAAGACAGCAAAGTGAGTGCGAGTGCTGGCACTGAACATTTTCATCTATTACACAAATGACTGGATGAAATAATTAATGAAAAGAATTTATAAATGTGTTATAGTCCCAGAATTTGTTTTATAATTTAGTCACTTTGAATTTGGGATACAGTTTCCCAGAGAAGCAATGTTATAATGGGTACTTAAGTACCAAGAAATCCCACAAAGGCTGTTTAGCTCATAATGTAGCAATAAAACGTAGAAAAGTAAAAAGGATTGGAATATTGTAAGAATACGATCTAAGTAACTTTGAATATTGATGTTCAAGGAAAGGTGATTTTAATTAGAAGATGAGATGGTTCACGAAAACTATGGCAACCCCCAAGGGAACTTCTGAGCCCTTTCAAAGCTTCTGAACAGCACTGTCTCCATCTAATGTCTATTTTCCAGTGAAAAGGATATAATTGGCATAATCATATCCTCACACTGTTCTTACAATCAGAAGGGAGGAAGAACTCGAATCTGGCCTTAAGGATGAGGATTTTGGTCATGAGAGAATCTGGAAGATTATATGAGGTAAAATTAATTGAATGGTAGAAATAGAGGAAAAGGAAGAAACAAGTGCGGTCATGATTCCATCTGCAGGGAAAAAAGAATATGATGGGGGGAAAGATGGTCAACGGAGGCCATAAAATAGCACAGGACAGGCTTGGCCATTACCAAGGGAGTGACAGCAGCATGCCACTGACCTTCAGAGGTGTTGGCAATGCAGAGTCTCTCAACATACCAAGGTGGCTTCTGCAGAATACAGAATTTGTATGGCATCATAATCTTCCTGTTGATTTTGGTGATGTTTTCTACTGGATAAGTCTTACTGATTCCTAAAGAAGAGACCCTTGCCTTTGACAAAAAGAGACGGTAAGATCCCTTTGCCAACCTTCCCCACCCCATGTGGCTTCCTTATCTTCTTTGGCAAGCTTCACTCTAATGATCCTAACCAAATCATTTAATTCTCTGGAATCGGTTTCCTCATCTCTAAATGACAACTCTGAACTAGATTATTCCTTCCAATTCTAAAAATTTGTTGATGAAATTCTCCAAAAAGACATAACAAACCAGCAGAACGAGACCTAATTACATGGCCTAAACCAAAGAGCTGATTTCCAAGACTAGTTATCTCTGTCACAGAGGAGTCACAGTGATCCAGCTTTTCCTAAACTTAGCTGACCTCTCTGCTCTCAGAACTGTTTCAGGGCAAGGAGATTTATCGAGCAAAATTGGTGTGAGAACTGTAGGGTTGTCCTTCGGTTTAAAAAAAGGGATGAGGCCGGGAGCACTGGCGCATGCCTGTAATCCCAGCCTCTTGGAAGGCTGAGGGAGGAGGATAACAAGTTCAAGACTAGCCTCAGCAATTTAGAGAGACCCTGTCTCAAAATAAAAAAATAAATAAAAGGGGCGGGGATGAGGCTCGGTGGTTTAAAAAAAAAAAAAAAAAAAAAAACACTCCTGGGTTCAATCCACAGTACCAAAAAAAAAGGTGGTGGGAGGTTGGTGGTGGTGAGAGTAATTGCAGCAAAATCTGTTAGCTAGTATCTCCTTCGACCTAAGAGGGTTTCTGAGTAGCCACAAGTAGATAAAACCTCATCTCCCCACACTGGGGTTCCTCTTTGGGGTTTTGTAGCATCAACTGGCACGCGCACGGGGGACACGCGGCCATGACTGCGGAACCCTAACCCATTAAGCGATGGAAGAGCCGGAGGGCTGGTCCCGAGGGTCGCGGCTCCCCGCGGACGGAAGCGCGGCAGCCACACTTCCGGCGGCCGGCCGGACGCTCGCCACACTTCCTGTTGATCGGCTCCGCTGGGGGCCTTGCCGGGCTGGGCTGGGCTGGACTGGGAGGTGGGCGGGCTGGCAGGCGGCGGCGGTCACTGGCCAGGCGTGGGCGCGCGCGGGGCTGCCGCGGGCACTGAGAGTCGGCTGAGTAGCCTGAGCCCGGAGCACCTCGGCTGCCGCCTCGCGCCCTGCGTCCTTCCATCCGCCCTCGCCCAGCCATGCCCGCGGTGGACAAGCTCCTGCTGGAGGAGGCGTTGCAGGACAGCCCCCAGGTACCTCCGCCGATGGGTCCCGTGCGCCCGCAGGGGCGAGGCCGCGGAGGGGCGCCTCCTGAGGAGGGGGCGGGCCGGGGACCCCTGGAGCCCCCGCGTCGCGACCCCTCCCGGGACTGACTAACTCTGGCTCCTTCGCTTGTTAGCACGGTGCCCGGGGCAGACGGTTCGCGTTTTGGTGCCTTCCTTCTGCCTTCTGTCAAATAGAGAGAATGAGTGTACCTGTCTCCTGGGTAGTTAGGAGAATTAAATGAGAAGGTGCTTGTAAAGTTTTGTTTTTTAAATCAGACAGTTCGCGGTTCAGAGTAAAGAAGTTCATCTTGACATTCGGAGTACCCCTGCTGATGTGACCAGAACCGGGGGGTTTAGGGTCCAGAAGGGGAAGCAGGGAGGCTGGATCTCTCTCCCAGCCTCTCTGGCACTGTTTTCCATTGTGAAGAGAAAATGAACAACACCTGCCCCATTTGTCAGGCGAGGGAACCTCATTAGCACGCTTGAGATGCGAGTCCTTTGAGCTTGGGGGTGAAAACTGGTGTGTAAATATAGCAAATGAGTGCAAATGACACTAGTTCATGAGCTCCTAATTCATAGTTTTTCTCTGGGGAGCTTTTGTTCTTCATTTGACACCCTCCCACCTGGCCTACCCTTGCTTCCTATCTCCTTTCCTGGCTCTGCATCCCTGGGTTATTTAAGTTTCTTTATTTTCTAGTGCCAAGATTAAGCCGTTCTTCTCCCAGTTTCCCCTCTTTGGGGGTTCCTTCCTTTCTCTCCTGAGTGAATTGTACCACCCAGGATGACTCTTTGAGAGAGTTATCTAGTGCTCTCTGCATCTCCACCCCTGAGAATAAGTAAACAGGGCTGTGTGCACCTGTGTTTTGTGCGCATTTCTTTGTGATCCTTCCTATGCAGGCAAGTCGGGCCCTGTAAGCAAGCTGTGGTTTTTCTTTTATTTTTTTGCAAGTTAGCATCCACTGACTGATTTTTCAAAGATCTCTTTTATACAACTCTACACTTCTGGTGTTTTTAATTGAATTGGACTCCATGATAGGAGGCATTTCCGCCAACCTCCCACCAATTGAATGGGAATGGAACCTAATGTGAAATTTCCAGTGATCATTGGAAACCGAGTTCTCCACTTGCTTTGTAGTTGGGGACGCTGAGATGCAAAGGTACATTGCTTTCCTAACCAGACATGGCTCTGGGCAGGCCAGTCTAAAGAAGCTGTACTCATTCCCTGTGCTGTCCTCACTGACAAATCACATTCTGAATTTTTGGCTGTCGCATAAATGAATACACACTGAGTGGCTTGAAGAACTTGCAGCACTATGAGGGAATAGTAAGAAGACTGGCAAATGAGTCAGGAGACCTGGGTTGCAGTTCTGGCTCTAACACTGAGCTTACCATGTGATTTGGGCAGTCACTTAATCCCCATCCTGTGGCTGGCTAGTTTTTCTCATCGGCAGAGCCTCTACAGAATGAGAGACACAGAGGAGATGATCTTCAGGGCACTCTAGAGGCTTTAAGCTCTTGTCTTATCTATGGGGTTTATGATTTTGAGCTTTTATGTGGAAAAAAGAAGTTTAGAGGCATTATGATTCCTATTTACTGTTCATTTTAATATAGGGAGTGTATTATTAAGGGTTCTTGATGTGGTTGCTGTACAGAATGGAAGCTACCTTTAAGAAGGTCTTTTATAATCATTAGAGCATATTTTGTGTATTTTATATGCAGCTTGTGCCTGGTACAGCTGTACTCCCAAGGAGATTCATAGACTTGGAAGTGGAAGGAGTAATCCAGCTCTTTCATTTTATGTGGAAAGAATAAAAAGAATAGCAAAAGCTTAGATCATGTGTGTTATGTATGGACACTGTTCTAAATGCCTTACCCCTCTTAACTCAGTCCTCCCAACAGTCTTTTAATCTAGGTCTCTCTTAAAATGATTAAGGAGCAGAGAAGTTATATAACTTTCCCAAGATTGTACTCTCTAAAGTGACAGAGCCAGGATTGGAACCTAGGCAGTATGCATATTAAAGGGATATTGCTTAAGTTAGTCCAATTACTTAGCACCTGGCTTTTCTGTTATTGGTGACCTGAAATTTGTTTCACTAAAAGGAAAAAAATCCTAAGAAACCAGCTACTGTTTGTTGCCTCTGGTTTATGTAGGAGAGCTGTGAGGTTGCTTAAGTAACCTGGTTGCACAAAAGCTTTTGTGTTTGAACTGAGTGACCCAAGAAATGCTGAATAGAAGTTGTCTGACCTTAGACACATGTATTCATTTCCTCCTTTTTAGTTGGCAGGGCTGCCTGATGTATTTAGAACTATTCTGTGTGTGTAGTGTATTATCCCTGCTTACCTCTGCTATATGAGAGGCAGCGTAGCTCCAGGATGAGAGGTTGGACTCCATGGCCATTTGTCCAGCCACCACTTGCTGCTAGGAATGTGATGTAAATGAAATTCATGTGACTGCCCTCGACCGGCTCACAGTATGTTCCAGGGCCAGATAAGTGTACAGCAGTTCCAGGACAGTGTGAATGTTGCTGTGAAACAGAGGGACATGGATGCTTGTACTTTGTCAAGGGGCCATTTCCTTATCCTATAAGTCATACATTTCCAAGACAGAAGAACTATTGCCTGCTTTTTTTTGGGGGGGGGGGGAATGTTTTGTCCTTTTTTTAATTTTTTTATTTTTTTTTAGTTGTAGTTGGACACAATACCTTTATTTATTTATTTTTATGTGGTGCTGAGGCTCGAACCCAGAGCCTCCCATGGCTAGGCAAGCACTCTATGGCTGAGCCACCATCCCAACCCACTGTTTGTTGTATTATTTTGCAATTGGAATCACTGAAACAGAAATTAAAGACTTAGTTCTGAGATTTTGCTGTGAGTGGCCCAGCTGGGAACAGCCCTCTCCAACCAAATCAGGTCTTTCTTTTTATGCCAATGAGATGCTTCCAAACATAACCTGGGTGGCCTTGTATGGCTTCATTGTGGAGGGGTTTTGTCCTGAGGCTCTTTTTATTTTTATTTATTTATTTTTTACATTTTTTAGTTGTCAATGGGCCTTTATTTTATTTATTGATATGTGGCGCTGAGGATCGAACCCTGTGCCTCACCCATGGTAGGCAAGTGCTCTACCACTGAGCCCCAGGCCCTGAGGCTCTTTTTATTTATAACACCATTTTACTTAGACTTATGATTCTACTAGTTAATATCTTTCCTTCCACCAAAAGATGGGAATAGAACTTTGTTTTTAACCTTAAAAATTTTTTTTAAATATTCTGACATTAAAATTGAGCCATTCCACAATAACATGCTATTGAGAAGGTCTAGGATGGCTGAATTAGGTCACAAGCTATTTCTTTACTAAGGTAAGGGAATAACACAGACCTGAGGCTATATCCTTAGGGTGCTTGCTTTTTTCCCCTCCTCTGGCTGTGGATGCTCCTGAGAGCATAGGGTAGTACAGAAAGGATGGAATTCAAATCCTGAGTTTTCCACTGTTCCCTCTGGCAAGTTATTTACCCTGTCTGAGCTTGTGTTTGCACATGTACAGCGGGAGAATAGAAATAAGCTACTTTTCAGGTTGTTAGGGGTTTATGTGCCTGCATGCCACAGTAACTTCATGAGTGCTGCTGCCATTGTCTTTGTGACACGCCAGTGCCTGACATTTTTTTGAAAGTTCGTTATCTTCATAATCAACATCCTCTGCCATCACTGTGTATTCATTCGGCCCTGCTGAACACTTCACATACATTAGTTATCTTGTTAACTCTGCTAATTAGTGCCAGAGCCTGGATGTGGACCCAGGAGTGATGGACCCCAAGTGAGTCACAGCTCCTCTGAGGGGCCCCAGCTGACTCGGATCCCCTGTAGAGTGGGGGGGTCATTGCTCCTCAACCTTGAATCTCAGTTCCCAGCACAGATGCTGGCTGAAGTCAGGAGGCAGGCACAGGCCACTGAATACTGACAGACTCCCAGCGTGTGTTCTGAAAAATGTCCTTTGACAATATTTGTTTTTTAGATAAAAATTATAACTTAAAGAAATGTAACACAGAATTCCAAATCCGAGTTTTTTCCTACAGGTTGTCAGGAAGTCCAGTGGGTCACAACCATGACTTTTGTTCACAAATGAAATAGGAAAAAAAGAGTGTATGCATTCTGTGGATAAATATTGTGTGGTGAAACCTCTGCTCAGGCCTTAGTGTGAAATGTATTTCATACCACGGGGTTTGATTTTTAAGTTTGAAGAACTCTTCTAACATGAGCTAGGCACCGAATGAGTTCCCTGATGAAGTTTACTCTCTGCGAGAGCTCTTTACACACTCCTTTACAGTCTCTGCATGATGGCCCTGTGATGCTTCCATTGATAAGCATTAGTACCGAAGAGAGTATGTAGGTCACAGAGCAGGGAATTTTTTTTTTTTTTTTATCCTGGAAGACCTCAGTGAATTGCTGTGAGATGCCCCAGAGTCTGTAGAGCAAAAGGAGGTTCCACTTCTGTTTATGGAGGGACCTTTGGGCCCAGGGATGTCTGGGCCCAGCTGCATTCAGGCTAGAGGGTGGCAGGCAGCCCACAGCCCCTGGTCCCTGGAGTAGTGCAGCACTGTGGTGGCTCAGGCCCTAGTAGGTGGGTGCATGGCAGCGGGGAGGTCCTAGGATTGACAGGACATAGTGGCAACCCAGGCCACTTTGCTAACCTCTCAACTGATAGGTTAGAAAAAGAAGGGATTGAAATTTATTTGCAGGGAAGTAATGAATCTTAATAAATTGTTTCTTGTAAAGCACTTTGGTATCACCTCTAAAGATATTTCTGTAACTTACGTTTTATTCTTTGCCTAATGAGTTATTTTCTGAAGTAGAAATCCCATTATTGCTTAGTGTAGTATTTCAGATTCCTCCTGAGCTGGGCACATTCACAAGAGTCCCATGAGTAGATATACCTCTTAAGTGATGCCTTAACACCTGTTCGTGCACCATTTTATATGTAAATATTTCGTAAACAATATTGCAGTGCTTAGTGTGTGCTGGGCACTACCATGAAAATGCTCGGAAACACCATCCAGCGAGTGGCATAGCTCAGTGGTTCTCAGAGCTCCTGGGAGCGTGACTTCTGGAAGCAGGGAGCTGCCCTTCTTGTTGCTGTTTGAGTTTTGTGCCCAGAGCTACCGCCAATGGGCCCAGGCAGCATGAAATTCCTAACCATGAATTTGAGAGTTGGCTGAATAAACTATGATGAAAAACAGGGACCTTGCAGCAGTATCTTAGGAGGGACGGACGACACACTCTGCAAGGCTGCCAGAACCCAGACCCAAGCAGCTGGCTGTGGGGGGTCAGGCTCCAGTGGTACCTGCAGCCACATCTGGCACACAGAGGGGCGCTGGCCTTATGGACTTGAAAGGAGAGTGTGTCTGTCCTAACCCCTCTTTGTTGGACGGACTTGACTGGCATGTCGTAGGGGTTGAAGTCAGGACAGATAATAGCCCTTGATTCTGAATTCTTGGCGGTGCTGCGGTGGATCCCAGGGCCTCGAGCTCACCAGGCAAGGACTCTAGCCCCGAGCCAGGCCCCCAGCCCCAGTCACAACCTTTCTAAAAACAGGTTTTCCTTCTGTGACCCTGACAGGAGGCACTGTTGCCCTGCCCTGCGGTGGGAAGGGTAGAGAGGCGGCTCCTGCTGGCTTTACTGATGAAGGTGAAGCCGGGCCCAGGCCCTGCCCTGCCCACCCATTTCCACTTGTGCATGTGCTCGCGTGTTTTCTGCCTCCTTGTGACTGTGACACTGAGAAATCAACTCGGCCCCCTCTCTTGCAGACTCGCTCTTTACTGAGTGTGTTTGAAGAAGATGCCGGCACCCTCACCGACTACACCAACCAGCTGCTGCAGGCCATGCAGCGCGTCTTTGGAGCCCAGGTAGGCCGCCCCTTGGGCCAGGAGAAATTTGAGTTGGAAAAGCTTCATTTAAAAATTTGAAATAAAATCAGGATTGCTTTTCTCACTTCTGTACACCTCCCAAAACTAAGGCATTCTCTTTTCTTTATTTGAGAAAGAGTAGTCTTCCTGTAACAAGAGCCCGTAGACAGAGACCACGGAACTGCTTTTCATTTTTAAAAATTCAACCCCAAAGGGAAACATTGGAGTCTCCTCTTCCCACTGGTAAATGAGCGGGTTCAGTGTTTTGAGATGTGCTCTTTGTCTCTCTCATAAATGGACAGTCTTGAATGTCAGTGTGGGAGGGAGCCATGGTTTTTCAGAGCTTCCTCTGAAAAGGACTTGAGTCACAGTTCTGGAACTATGGGGTGGCTTCTTTGTTTTGAGGAACAAATATCTCTGGCTTGCAAACCCATGGAAAATAAATTGCTGAGTAGCCAAAGTGAAGCTTTTTAAGATCAAGAAGTGCCATGTGAGTAACTTTCTAAGGGAAGATTTATGAGTCACTTAAAAATAAAATTATGTTACACATCAAAATATGGCAATTGATAATTTTCATTATTAATTCCTTGCCAACTTAAATCTGTATTGTTAATGTTTCTTTTTCTCATTGGATGATTTCTAAAGACTTAAATACCACATTCAGTATTGTATAACTCTTAATAACCATATGGAATCATTATTATATAGCTCTTAAAACTCATGACTCATTGTCTTATTAGTCATTCATACATGGAAAAAGCCTCAGTCCTTGACTTTAGGGAGCTTACAGTTGGGTTGGGAGACAGATACACACGTCACCAGCAAGTGCTATGAGTACTAGGGAGGAGGGTTGCCTCATCCAGAGGAGTTGTGTTAGTCTGCATTCCATAGCTGTGACAAGATACCTGAGAATATCAACTTAAAAGGAGGAAAGGTTTATTTTGGCTCACAGCTTCAGAGGATTGCGTCCACAGTTTTTTGACCTTGTTCCTTTGAGCCTGTGGCCAGCCCATGTAACAAAGGGACCCCATGCGAGGAAGCTGAGGAAGCTGTCGGCTCATGGCAGTCAGGAAGCAAAGAGAGGGAGAGGAAGGAGCTAGGGTCCCAATATCCCCTCCAAGGGCACTCCCAAGTCACCTAGCTCCCTTCCACTAGGCCCCACCTCTTAAGAGTTCCACCACCTCCCAGGAATATCACAGGCTGGTGACCCAGCCTTTAGCATACAGCCTTTGGGGGCCAAACTGTAACAGCTGGGCACCCAAAAGGAGTGATTGTATTGTTGAGATTTATTGAGTACTTAACAGCTGGAAGGCAGTTTCAGGAGCTTTTACATTGATGATTTCATCTACCTTCCCCAGCAGCCCTGTGAGGCTGGTGTTGTGATTATCCTCCTTTTGTAGGTCAGGGGACTGAGTATTTTGATGACAAGTAACTCGCCCTGGTCCACCCAGTTAAGTCTAGCAGAGTCTTTAGTCTCAAACTTCACTACTACATGGGACGGAGGGTGGAGGCCTGGGCTGGGGAAGTGCAGTAGAAACAGAAGGAGGTGGCTGCTTCAGAAGTGTCAGGAGGTGAGAGGTGACTGGGTGAGAAGGGGTCTGGTGGTGAAAGAGGAGCCAGGAACGTGGGAAGAGGATGGTTAACAGCACAGGATACAGTCGGGTAGGAGAAAGCACTTCTGATGTTCTGTAGCACAGCAGAGTGACTCGTTAACAATTAATGGAATATTTTAAAATAGCTAATAGAGAAGATTTTGAATGTTCCCAGCAGAAAGAAATGATAGCTGTCTAAGGTGTAGACATGCCAGTTACCCTGATCTCATCAATACACATCGTGTATATGTGCTGTAGTGCCACGCTGTTCCCCATAAATATGCAAATTACTGTGTATCAATTAAAAAATGTATATATGTATTTTTAAAGGGTGGGTAGGGAAAGCAGGGCACATGTATGTATACCCAGGTGTACACATGCAGGGGGGTAGGGCTGGGATGGGGAATGGCCAGGGGGCTACACAGTTCTCTCTTACGACATCACAGTGAGGAAAGAGGTTTTGTTGGAAGTTCAGATCCAGAGTCAGAGCTGGAGACACACATATGACAGGTAAACTTTGCAGTATTTTGTGAGTGTTACTTTTTATCTACAACAAAGAATCAAGTCCTCATTTGTGACTTTGCTTGCCACTTGTTTTGGTAAAGACATTCAGAATTTGGGAGCTTTGTTGATTTTTAATTTGAAGTCCTGGCTATTTATGTTGGCATTTTAAAATATTTTCCCTAAATACTAGAAATATAAGAAAAGAGACCTTTTTTTAACTTTTACTGAACTTATACTGACTTATACTGAACTTGCTTGCCATTCAATAATTTGAGTATTATTATCAACGATTTCCCTCCTGTTTGAGGCTGAAAGCCACTCCCGAGAGTCTGTGCAGCTTTTCCATGTCTGTCCAAATCATTTGTCTGGAGAAGTGAAACAATCTCTTATGCATCTTTTCTTTTGAGCCAGAAAATCTGTTTTGCCAAAATTAAGTAGGTCTTGCATTCCAAGAGGCTGGAATCCAGCTTTTAATTCACAGCACATGATCATCACGTGGGTCCTCTGGCCAGAAACCCTTCCTCCCGCCTGGTTCTGCAGCAGAGGCTGGTGACAGTGTTGGGTCAGTGCTGCAGGATGAGCAAGTGGCGCTGATCAGATGTGCTCAGGTCAGCTGGGGCATGGATCGTTGGTTTGTCAGGCTTATGTGAAAGCTTAGGTGTTGTATTGTCTTTTAAATTTGAGAAGGAAAACTTTTCTGAATCATCTTTGGTCAGTTTGCTTTGATATATGTCTATATATGTGAGTCTTTATATGCATTTAAATGTTATAAATATTTCATATCTACATCTTATTAGGGGGTACTGGGTACTGAACCTGGGGGTACTTCACCGCTGAGCTACATTTCAGCCTTTTTTATTTTTTGAGATAGGGTCCCACTAAGTTTCTGAGGCCGGTCTCCAACTTGTAGTCCTCTGCCTCAGCCTCCTAAGTCAGAGGAATTACAAGCGTGCACCACCACACATAGCTGATAGATGTGTATTTCTAAGACAGTAATATTTCTCATTGTCTTCATTTAAGTTTGTTTTCCCTGAGTTATATTTTCTTGGTTTTATATTATTCCTTAAATACTTTTTACTAAGACATATTGAATTAGGTTAATAGAGTTTTATAATTTTATTCTTAAAAACAAGTACTTAGACATAATTTTTCATTATTATTTTTTTCTTTCTTCTTATTTATTTATTTTTTCAGCACTAAGTATTACACCCAGGGGTGCTGTACCACTGAGCTTCATCCCCAATTCTTTTTTAATTTCTTGTTTTGAGTCAGGATCTCGCTAAGTTGCTGGGACTGAAATTCAAACTTGAGATCCTCCTGCCTCAGCTTCCTGAGTCACTGATATTACAGGTGTGCACCATGATGCTCATCTCATTAGTACATTAGTAAGTTCAGTATAAGTCCAGTTTTTTTTAAAAAAAGTCACTGGTATTACAGGTGTGCACCATGATGCTCATCTCATTAATATATTTTAAAAACTGTATATAAATGCTGCTGATGGATGATGAATGTCCTTCAGCCCTTAGTTTTAGAAAGAGGAAGAGAAAAAGTATAGAAAGTTCTGTGAGCAGTTTTACTCATTGTGACTAGTTGAGGGACTTTTTATATTTCATTTGGCATAAGCTCTGAAATGCAGCTGTAGGCCAGAAGTGGTTCTCAGCATCGTACAGCAGCAGTCCCTGGAGCCACATCTGGTCTCTCTGCTGTCATGTGCCTTTGCATGTGGTGGGGCTGAGTCCTGCCTGTGGGTCATTGGAATGAACGAAGCCGAGGGCATTTCAGGGCACTGACAGATCAGAACTGGTTACGTGGAACACAACTGTTTTGAAAACACTGAGTTTAAAAGCTTTAGTAGTATCTGAACAGATGCATAACTATAACTATACGTAAACTTTGCATTAAACCCACATAAATTTTGCATTCAGTATATTTGTTATGATACGCGTTCTGATTGTGGTAACCTGCCATAATTTTGTTCCTAAAGGGTTTAACATTTTTTAATTTTTCAAAATGGACTTCTTAGGGCTTTACAATGATATTTACACAGATCATCTCCTTGCAGCTGTTGTCCTGAGGAATCAGGGCCAGGTGCAGTGGCAGTTCTAGCTGTGGGCACTAAGGCTCTCCCTGCCGTTCTCATACCCGTCTTCCTCCCCCGATAGATGTTGAGCATCTGTGGGGAGTGCTTTCAGGTTGTTCTGTTGTTGTTGTTTTTGTTTCTTTTGCTTTTTAAAAAATAAATCTTGGATGGAATTTTCTTGAGAACTATAGTTAAGGTGCTCACTTTCCTTCCTCCAGACAGGACAATCCACCCAGCTCCATCTCTCCACCCCTTCTTTTTTTAAAATTTCTTTTTTAGTGTTGATGGACCTTTATTTTATTCATTTATTTATATGCGGTGCTGAGAATTGAACCCAGTGCCTCACACATGTGAGGCAAGCGCTCTACCACTGAGCCACAACCCCGTCTCCACCATTTCTTATTATTTTTTTTAAAAAATACTTATTTATTTTTTTAGTTTTTCGGCGGACACAACATCTTTGTTTGTATGTGGTGCTGAGGATCGAACCCCGGGCCGCACGCGTGCCAGGCGAGCGCCCTACCGCTTGAGCCACATCCCCAGCCCCTCCACTGTTTCTTAACCAAAGCTTTTGGAGTATAGAACTACAGAACCTAAACGGATCCTAAAAGCTCAGATTTAAGGTGGAAACAGTGTCCTCTCAAATTGGGGTGAGGACAGTGGGAGAGAATAGAAGTAAAATAATTGGAAGGGGAGATATGCATAAAGTTGGTGTAGTAACGAAGACGGCTTCGTTATATATACAGATGTGAGCTAAGCAAGTTCCTGTACCTGCTGGGACACAGCATGAGGGCAGGGGGCAGCCAGGGCGTGAGCCTGTGATA